TTTTTTTTTTTTTTTTTTTTTTGCGGAAATCCCCTTAGCTCTTGTTCTTGTCTTCTTAGCATCTTTTGCTCATGTCATTGCAGGTACTCTGTTCCACCTGAGCATGGAAAACGACTGGAGCGTCTCGCCAAAGGTACCATTTTTCCTCTACATGTTGAGTAGGGCCCACCCAGGAGCTATATTCTGCCCTGAAATGTCCATTGTCTGTGGTCAGGTAGGGATTTCATACAGCTGCTGGTGGTATCCATCACAGAGCAGCTTTAATCTCAGCCTCTCCATTCCCTCCAGAAGGGATTGAGTCCTTCCTTCTTTGACTATCCTCCCTGAACATGGGTTTCTTTGACCAAAAGAGTACAAGTCCTGTTGAGTCTAGTTTTTTCTGCCAAAATCTCAAAAGTTAAAAGTAAAAATTGGGTTAGTGTTTGGGTTTCTTTTAAAGTGGACTATGATTGAGTCATACATAAGAGTCTTCAATATCAGGGTAGATTTTTATTGTAGATGTGTTTTTGACAAGGATGGAGGGCACAGTCTTAATCTTTCAGGACTGGCAAAAGTCCTACTTTCAAAGCTGTGTAAGAACTGGGACCCTGAATGCTCTCCATCCCCAGGGTTTGATTACCCAGATAACGTTGTGCCTGGGAAAGCCCAGAAGCCCAGAAGCTCATTGGAGAATCTTAGAATCCACCCTGAGCCAGAAGGCTCCTTGATCAGGTTGGTGATTCATCCTCTTTATCAGCCAGATGAAGTATACAGGTATGAAGTGACCATAGGATTACAGAGTCCATGTAAAAGCATCATATTAACTCTATCCTTTGTCCATTTGAACAGGATTTTTCCCAGGAAGTGCTCAAAGCTGTGAGGCTTTTCTTCGTCATAAGATGACCCTGATATCTCCTTTAATGCTGAAGAAATATGGTATTCCTTTTGACAAGGTGAGCTGTTACAGACAGAACCTCTAGGCTTCCATGGAAACCACCCTTTCTGGTCTTTAAGCTTTGTTCTAGTTCATCACTCTTTCCCTTTGATTTGCAGGGGGAGACTTTGATCTAAAGGTGGCTAGCGCGCCTGCCTGCTGCTGGGGGGATCCAGGTCCTCTGTACTGCGCTAATTTGGACTGATTAATTACAGCTATAGTGTTCATGGGATGTGTTAGGCTTTGCATTTTATCCAAGACAGCAGAACTCCAGTGGATTTAGAAGTTCTCCTTGGTTGCTCAGTTCTGTGGTGCAGACAGACCTTGGGGTCAGTTCAGTTCTTCACTAGACCATCCCTGTGTATAGAAGGTCTTTTAAGTCTTTTCTTGTTCAGGTGACTCAAGAAGCTGGTGAATTTATGATCACTTTCCCTTATGGTTACCATGCCGGTTTTAACCATGGCTTTAACTGTGCGGAATCTACAAATTTTGCTACGCATCGCTGGATTGAGTATGGCAAACAAGCTGTATTGGTAAGCACACTTGATAGTTTCCTATAACCCCACAACTAAGAATGTCTGGTTAAGTGATTCTTTTTTTTTCCCTTTTTCTCCACTATTGGGGATTAAACATAGGAACTACATACCTAGCCTTTTTAATTTTTTGTTTTGAGACAGTGTCTCAGTGAATTCTCCAGGTGAGTCTCAACTTTGCAGTTCTCCTGTCTCAGCTTCAGAAGTGCTGGTATTATAAGCATGTTTGCATGTGCCTGCTAATGGACAAATGCTTGTTGGGTTCATTGATTAGTATCAAACATTTCTTTGAACTCCTGGAATTTGGAAACAAATAGGCTGGGACTATGTGAAATGTGAGTAATTTGTGTTCTTAAATAATTTGTGTGTATGTGCATGAGCTTACTATGGTGTCACATCTCTGTAATCCTGTCATTTTGGGAGGCTGAAGCAGGAGGATTACAAGGTTGAACCCAAGTTGGTATATTTATTGAGACCCTGTTTCAAAATTTAAAAATATTCAAAAAAGGGCTGGAGATGTAACTCTGCAAAGGCCCTGGGTTTGATCCCCATACCACCAAAAAGAAAAAAAAAAGTAAAAATGTGTTTATCAGGGGCTTGCCAGTTAGCTTAGTTGTTTAAGCACCTGCTTATGCAAATGCAGTCAGGTATAGGATACTACAGTTCGATCCCCAGCTCCACATGCCTTTCCGGACCTGCCCTTAAGGCAGCCTGAGCCAGAAAAAAAAAAAAAATCCTTCTCAAAAATGTGTTCAGCTCTGGAAAGTATAAAGTAAGGTTTTACTTGTAGGTCCTTTTTTTTTTTTTTTTTCCCCAGTACTGTGAATGGAACTTGGGACCTTGTATTTGCCAGGCATATTCTTATGCCACTGAGCTACCTCCCAGGCCCCTGTAGGTCCATTTGGCTTTATTTTATTTTATTTTTTTGCGGAACCAGGGATTGAACTCAAGCCCTTGTGCTTGCCAGGCAAGTGCTTATTCTACTGAGCTGTCTCCCTGTCCCTGGCTTTATTTTTAGTGTTTTGATTTGTTATTGGGAATGGAACTCAGGACCTTATGTTTGCCTTGCAGGCACTGTGCTACTGAGCTATATCCTTGGCCCTCATTTAGCTTTATTTATTTATTTATTTATTTATTTATTTTTATTTATTACCTTTATTTATTGTGTGTGTGTGTGGCCAGCTCAGCCCACCAGGGGGCGGGGCTGGCTGGCATGTGGTGCTGGGGATCGAACCGCGGTCCCTTTGCTTTGCCAAGCCCGCTTCAAGTAGGTGCTTTAGACCACTGAGCCATCTCTCCAGCCCCCTCATTTAGCTTTAAAGTGTACCCACATATCAACATTTCTTGCTAAGGGTTTCTGAGATTTTTCTTTTGAGAAATTATTAAGGTTTTCCTTTTAACGTGCAAGCAGTGGGGCTGGACTTTTGACCTAGAATAGTAGCCTTCCTTGTGTGGCCCTGATCTGGGTAGCTACCCAGGGACAGGTAGCTGTTGAACATGGAGGGACCTAAGTGCAGAAATGAGTTTCTAACCATTCACCACACGTCTCCTGGGTGCTGGGTGGCTTTGTTCCCCATGCTGTGCATTTTGTGCACTTTGGTGCTGCTTCCTGATGTGGGAAGGTGATGTAAGCATGATGCCCAGTACCCTTATCTGAGTCAGAATGGCTTTTTAAGCGAGCTCACACTCTTGCTTGGAGGGGGGAAGTGCAATGTATGGCAGAGTGGAAGCGGGTGAGGTGGCCTTCACCTGATGGTTGTTCATGACAGTGCTCCTGCAGAAAGGATATGGTGAAAATCTCCATGGATGTGTTTGTGAGGAAGTTCCAGCCAGAAAGGTACAAACTTTGGAAAGCTGGCAAGGACAGCACAGTCATCGACCACACTCTGCCTACGCCGGAAGCTGCTGAGTTTCTTAAGGAGAGTGAGCTGCCACCAAGAGCCAGCAGTGAAGAGGAGTGCCCTGAAGAGGACCTGGATGGGGCGGAGCACGGAGAGGAGGGAGACCTGAAGAGAAGGTAGCAGGCAGCCCACTTGGGCCAGCTGCTATAGCTCCAAAGAGGCTGTGGGGTGTTGGAGCCCCACCTGAGAGGGTTTTCTTGGTGTCAGCTAGGGAGTGCCGTTGCTCCGTTGTAACGCTTACCTAGGAATGAGGATAGTAAACCTGTAGTAGTCTGTGGGAGCAAGGGGCAGGATCTTCTTGGGCCAGAAAAGCCAAATTTTCCCATCACATTAGAGTGTTTATTTAAAAAGAAGTGGTGGCAGGAACGAGACTCAGTTGTATAAGAGTAATGTAAATACAAGAAAGCTGTACGTTGGTGTTAGAGTCTGAGGCAGAAGATCTGTGTTCTGAAAGAAGAGTTCATTGTAGGCCATGGTGGAAAGGCAGGAGGGACATTTTTCAGGTACCCTGTGTGCCTGCTTTCAGTCCTCACAACAAATCTTGTACTTTGCATGGATGGAATCAGCAATAAGAGGCAGCCTGCTTTCCAGACGGTCCACTCGGGGCCTGGCCATTTGTTTTGTGTTGTGTGTGGATGTGTGTGAATGTTTTGGTATGTGGGGGTCTTACAAAATTTGTCTTCTCCCTTACAGCCTAGCCAAGCATCGTATAGGGACAAAGAGGCATCGGGTTTGCCTGGAAATACCACAGGAGGTGAGTCAGAGCGAGCTCTTCCTCAAGGAGGAGCTGAGCTCTGGCCAATATGAGATGACGGAGTGCCAGGCCACGCTTGCTCCTGTGAGGCCTACCCACAGCTCTGTGCGGCAAGTTGAGGATGGCCTACCCTTCCCAGGTGAGTTGACTGTGGTTATCACAATCCTTATATTTGTTTGTTCTGTTTTTCAATGTCACATTGAGTACAAGGCCAGAAATAAGAAGGGTGATAGCCACATCTGAGACTCAGAAGTGGAATATGAGAGCACTTTGCTTGGAAACGTGCAAGGTATATGAGGTATGAAGGGAGAGGCCTGACTCCTTGCCTGCTGAAGTATGAGCTTGCTGCGTTGGCTTTCAGCAGTTGGCCTGGCACTTGCAGAATGCCTTGCTACTTTAAGAGTTGGTTCACTTTAAAGCTAGAGGAGACAGTTATATTTTAAGATAGGAGTAGTGGCTCATACCTGTAACACCAGTGCTCTGGGAGGTTGAGATAAGAGAACTGAAAGTTTAAGCCCAGTCTGGGCAGCTTAGTGCTTTAGTGAGATCTTCCCCCAAAATTTAAGGAAGACTAAGGATGTAGCTTAGTGTGAATGCCTAGGTTCAGTGCCTAATACTAGGGGGAAAAAAAGTGTGTCACCCAGATGCTCATTGAGATTTGGTTTGTTAGGGAGAGGTCTGCCTTATTCTTTTTTTTTTTTGGTGGAACCAGGGATTAAACTCAGGCCCTTGAGCTTACGAGGCAAGCGCTTATTCTACTGAGCCATCTCCCCCGCCCCATTGCCTTACTCTTAAGCTTGCAGAAGTCAGGCTTCTGTGCTATGGCTTCTGACAGTGCTACACAGTATGTGTGCTGTCGGCCAGGGAGCTCTGTGCTTTCAGGGCCTGCCCAGGCTGGCTCCTCCTGAGCAGGCTTTCCAGTGTAGGTAGTTGGGACTATGCCAAGCTTAGGCTTATAGGCCCTCAGGAGACCTGGGAGGAAGTGGCAGGCTCTGCCTGCTGAGTGCAGGTGATACCCCAACTTATACCCAGGGGCTGTACCTGGGAGTAGTCCTGAGAAGTGGTAGTATCCTCATACACAGGATGGAACTGGAGGCCGGAGATGGGACATGAGCTGTGGTCAGTCACCCTTCAGTAGGCTTAGCCAGGATTTAAAGCCAGGTTGCACATCCATCCATCCATCCATCCATCCATCCATCCATATTCTTCCTGCTTTCCCACTCCATCTTTGTCAAATTCACATGTACGGGAGGAAATTGACTGTGTCTAATGTGTTCATTATTTCAGATTACTCTGACTCCACTGAAGTCAAATTTGAAGAGCTCAAGAACGTCAAACTAGAAGAGGAGGATGAAGAGGAGGAACAAGAGGCAGCTGCCCTGGATCTTTCTGTAAATCATTCTTCTATAGCTGGACACTTAGTCTTGTCAGTTTCCAAAAAGAAAGCATCTTCTAGCCTGGGCTCTAGTTCTCAGGATTCTGTTTCTTCTGATTCAGAAACCAGTGAGCCCCTCTCCTGCCAAGCTCCTGGGCAAACGCGAGTTCTTACTGTGCACAGCTATGCCAAAGGCGATGGCAGGGTCACAGTGGCACAGCCGTGCACGAGGAAGAAAGGCAGTGCCCCCAGAAGTATCAGCGAGCGGGAGATGGCTGAGGTACAGTCTCTGGGCAGTGGGGTGGAGGCAGCTGCCCAGAGGCGCCTAGTGCAGGGGAGGTGGGCCTGTGGCAAGGAGTTGCTGCAGCTCTCCAGGAAGCCAGTGAGACCCCTCTCATCAGTGTCCCCAGCCACTTGGTTATATTAGACAGCAAGCCTGATGACGTGCACTGTCTTCCAGCTTGTTTTTTGCAGGAATATCCTTTCCTTTCCTCTTTCTGTGTGTGACCGGTGAGGATTTTATCATTGATGGCTTAGTGACAGCTATAGCAAGTCTCAGTACTCTGATGAAAGCATTGACATTGACTAGGTGCATATTTCTAGTGTTTCTAGTAGTCGTGGTTTTCTGGTTGGCTCCCTACTTGCTTTTATTTTTATTTTTATTTTATTTATTTATTTTTGGCGGAACTGGGGATTGAACTCAGGCCCTTGCACTTGCCAGGGAAGCACTTATTCCACTGAGCCATCTCCCCGGCCCCCGCAACTTGCTTTTAATATTCGTATACTTCCATCTGCCTTCTTGTGTAGGGTCAGGATTCTGCTAGGACTCTGTACCAGGGAGTGTTGCTCCGTCCACCACACAGTGGTTGCAGGCTGATGAGCTAATAACCATCAGTGTGTCTTTCTCATTGCCTGATTGCTGCTCTCTGCACTCTCATGTAAGTTTCCACAGGAGTGCATTTCTGCTTGTAAACTCCATTCCTTAAGCTAGCAGCTGCCACCTGACAATTCTTCCTCAAAAGCTGCCTTGTCGATCTTATGTGGTGTCTCGGTGCATCCTGTGCTGTTGTTGCTCCGTCCTCCTTTCTTCTTTAGGTTGGAATCACAGTCACAAAAGCATCTGACAGGAACTCGCTATTTGCTCAGTACTTGGCCAGCAGCCCATAATTAACACCTGTCTTTTTTCCTTCCCAGTTTGATGTCTGTCTTGTTTATTTATTTAGCAGTGTCGGGAATTGAACTCACTTATTCTGCTGAGCTATCTCCCCGACCTTCCTTCCCAGTTTGGACCCATTTAAATGACAGGTAAAGAATTGGGCATAGAGAGCTTAGACTGTCACTTTATTACCAGTTAATATGATTAAACAAAGTGGCTTTTAACCTGTGGCCAAATGGCCCTGGTACTCATTTGCTCTCAGTTGTAGAGGTGACCTCCCTTGTCCTATGCAGTCCTTGATGTTCATGGGCCCCTTCTAGAGCAAAGCGTTTGCTGCACAGCTTCCGTGTGGTGAGGACATCCCAGAATGGGCTCCTCCTGGAAAGAGCAGATCATCGTTAAATGATACACATTTAACCTGGTAGAGTAGGAGAAGCTAGGAGGCCTTGGGGAGAGCAGTCTGTGGGAGAGGGGCTTCTCTTCTGCACCTGCACCCCTCCTGATTTATTTTCTTTTCTATGTGGAGTTCCCAGATGGAGCCTGGTGGAAATGCCCTCCTCCACTCCATCACCAGCCATGGGCTGCCTGGTTTGTGCTGTTTAACACTCTCCAGAAAGTCTTGGCTCTTGGCCTCTTTACCTTCCTTTGTAATCATTTATTGCCAGTCCACTGTGCCGTGACTGTGCCCTCATCAGAAGTCCCTTGAGAACTAGAAAAGTGGGCAGATAGGGGCTGATGGGTGATGTGTTCCAACTTAGCTTATAGCTGGGGGGAAGAGTTCGGGAAGGCTGTAGATGAGGTGGTTTGCTCTGACCTGAGGTTAGCGTGCAAGGTAAACAGAATGAAACTGGAGCAAGAATGGGGGAGGAGAATGCTTTATATATTGTTGATAGCTTATGCCAATTTTAAAGCACATGGAGGCTTGCAAAGGTTTTAGTTTGTTTTGTTTGGGATAGGGTCTCACTAATTCTGGCTGGCCTGGACTTCACTATGTCGTCCAGGTTGGCCTTGAACTTGGTGTGATCCTCCTTGTCTCAGCTTCCTGAGTGCTGGGATTCAGGTGTGTACTACAGTGCCTGGCTTGCAAAGGTTTCAGTTTATTTGAAGAATGTAGGGGGCTCTGCCTCATGTGCTCCTGGACTTCGTGTTGGACAGGAGCGGAAGGTTCCCCTCCATCTGTGTTCAGAAGCTCAAAACCTCCATGCTACGTTGTTTTAAGTACACACACACACAAATGCTAAGTGAATAGTGGAAATCCTCATCACTTGGCTTTAACAGTGTTAGGATCTCATCACAATTGCCTCATCCATTCTGTTCTTATTCTCTGATGTGGTTTTGAGTAGTTAGTTTATTTGAGTTAAGTCAGTGCTCACCTCTTGTATCTGTTTATGTCACTCTTCATATTCGTTAGCATTAGGGCAGTGTTGTCTTCCTCCCAGACTGTTGACTTACTCAGACTGTATTTCTTGGTTTTCTTTTTCGTACTGGGAATTGAACTCACAACCTCACACTTGCCTGGCAGGTGCTGTCCCACTGAGCTCTATCCCAGGTCCTTCAAACTGTCTTTTAAAGCTGTGCTAGTATGTGGGGAGTTCTTCCTGGAAGTAGTGTACAGATTTTTGGAGGGAGAAAGGACGAGGACAATTTAAAAACATTTAACAGATGGCATTATAATTTTTATTTCCTGGGTTTGCATTGTTTGAGCATTTTTTTGATTTTTATTTACTTTCATTAATATTCTTTTGGTGCTAGAGAATGAATCTATGGCATTGTGGATGCTAAGCACACACATTACTCCTGAGCTACAGCTGGAGCCCAGCTTATCTTTATAGCTAAATACTTCTACTTCAGGAAAGGCTGAGAAAAGATTTATAAGAAGGAAGCCAATTAGGAACCTGTTTCTTCAAGCCTTAGAGGAGGGGAGGACCATGTGGGATGGTGGTAACAAGCATAAGGGTACAACACAGACTTAGCTGAGAAGGTAGTAGCACGGAACAGCTAGTATCAGCCAGTGAGAATATTATGAGGGTTGACTCGGAGCAGCCAGTGTGATTGGATGGGTTCCATATAGGATAGAGGTTGAAGGAAAACTTTTTTTTTTTTTCATGGAACCGGGGATTGAACTCAGGCCCTTGCTCTTGCCAGGGAAGCACTTATTCTACTGAGCCATCTCCCCAGCTCAGTTGAAAGAGGCGGGGCACAGTGCCACATGCCTTTGATCCCTGCTACTCAGGAGGTGAGATGGGAGGATCACAAGTAGGACCTGTCTCAAAATAAGAAAGACTGGCGTGGGTCAGTAGAGTGCTTGCCTAGCATGCATGAGGGTCCTGGGTTTAATCCTTAGTACAGAAAAAGAAAAAAAAGTGACAGAAGGGCTTTGTTTGATGGTCAGAATGTCAGCCATGTTCATGTTCTGTGAAGTAGGCAGGCCACAGACCTATAGAAGGAGCCTGAAGGTGTAGAATCCACCAGGAGGCTGAGGCTGAGGTGGATTCACTGAGTGAAGAACAGTGTCCACAGTGTCTGTGGAGGTAGAATGTCCAGGTTAAGAGGAGGATCAGTAGCCAGAGGCTGAGGGAGTGAAGCGAGAGTGGTGTATCCTGCGATGGGAGGAGACTGACGCAAGGCAGTGGGAACTATGGCCAGTGGAACCTTGTATTAAAGGTCGGGTGTGCAGAGTGTGGAGTTGGAGACAGTAGGGGAGGAGGGGGAGTGGAGTGGTTGGGTTCTGGGTCTCTATGGATGGAGGTGGGGGTGGGTGGGAGCAGTATCCTGGCCTGGGAGAGGGATGTAGAGGATGGAGGGGAGAGCTGCCTAGGGCTGTTTTTTGGTTTGCTATTGATGACCCTGAGGGCTAATCCCAGGGCTTTGCACATGCTAGGAAAGTTATTTTCCACTAAGCTCCATCTCTAGTTGGGTTTTTCATTTTTTAAGGTTTAAAAAAATGTGAAATAATGCATGTTATAAAATGGATTGTTGGGCTGGAGAGATGGCTCAGTGGTCTAAAGCACCTACTTGGAACAAGCTTGGCAAGGCATCAGGGACCGCGGTTCAATCCCCCAGCACCACATGCCAG